TACTCCTGTCATATCTGATCTGGTGCTCTTCCTATTCATCTCAAGGTTTTTGATAAAATTCGATAAATGATGTGCAATGTAATCAATCCTGACTTGGCATCTTGACTTCAGTCATTTTCTCACTGAGGGGGCATGGCTTCTCTCTGTTTTTTCTACAATTATTTTTATGGCAACTTTTTTCTCTAAATTTAAGCATACTACTTGATTGGCATGTAGGTCCCACCATTTTAGCATTGAAATAGTTTAATGCAACCACTACTTCTGCTCCAACAGTTTTTTCTCGTACTTCCCATCTGAGGGACTCCCTTGCATTTACTTGTTTCCCTGATGACTATAATCTTGAAAATTTAAATGCAACCTCTATTGCCATATTCTATCTTCTTGAGCCCAGTTCATCATTTGTCCTTTTCTCACTCCTCCTAATACTGAGTCTTTTTTTTTCACTTTCATTCTCTGTAACACCCTATGTACTAGTGACATTCCAGCTCTATTTAGGGTGAAATGATTAAAAAACACACAAAAAATTAAATAAAAAACTAAACTGCAATACCTTATCAATCATTTTTAATGAAACTTTTATAAAAGAGGGATTGTTGCCCAAATACACAAATATCTCTCTCTCTCTCTCTCTCTCTCTCTCTATATATATATATATATATATATATATATATGAAAATAGGAAGGAACCGGTTAGGTAAATAATCCAAAGTCCCTTAGTATTTTAGTTATTATTTTAAAAAAATAGTGCTCGATACAAAAGTAGAGCATAAATATAATTATTTATTTAAAAATATGATTCCAAATCGCTACATAAGAGGTCTCATGTTTCAAAACAAGAGCCGAAAAATTCAATATAATCCTTTAAATTAAATTGAGTTTAAATTAAAATGGGCTCCGTTCCATCTTCAAGCGAAATTTTTTTGGAATAACGTATATCTGAAATTTACTTGTTTTAAAAAATTGAAATCAAAATCTCCATGGTAACAGCAAAAAAATTGAATTGTTTAAATTGGGTAGGCGAATGTAGGGTGTTAATAATAAGTAGCGGTATAGAGATACTTTCAAGATGTCAAATCGGGGAAAGGTGGGGGTGTCTAAAATGAAACGGAAGATGTATTAACCTTTGTCTAGTTTGTTTGTCTATGGAGATTTATTTATTTATTTTATTTTATTTTATTATGAAAGGGAATTGTGCATATAAAAAAAAAAAGAAAAACTTTCGTAACGTTTGTTTTTTGACGACTTATAAAGGGTTATTATGTAAGGTATTAAACTACTTATTTGGGCTATGGATTATGAAGGGTGTTATGTTGTATGCATGTTTGTAGTTAATTATTCCTACTATGAATCTGAAGATTGGGCTATTTGTTAAACAAGTTATTATAAATTTTTTTTTTTTTTTTTTTTTATTATTATAGGCACAAAGGGCATAGGTCATCCCAAGCTTTACATGTTCTAGCCTTATCAATGATTTTCCATTTAACTTTTGGTGTTCTATTTGTTTCCTTCAGGTGCCAAAAATATTTTGATAGCGAAGTCTGATTTCTTTTGTTTATATTATTATATATATAAGTTAAATGGAAAATCATTGATAAGGCTAGAACATGTAAAGCTTGGGATGACCCATGCCCTTTGTACCTCCATGAAAAATTACACATTATTAAACTTCTAAATAATAATAATCTATTAAATAATAGACACGAGTTAACGGTTTTTTGTAGGCATCATCAGATTTTTGGTTTGAATCATTAGATAAAAAAAAAAAAATTAAAAAAAAATTTTAATAACTTGTTTAACAAATAGCCCAATCTTCAGATTCATAGTAGGAATAATTAACTACAAACATGCATACAACATAACACCCTTCATAATCCATAGCCCAAATAAGTAGTTTAATACCTTACATAATAGATAACCCTTTATAAGTTGTCAAAAAACAAACGTTACGAAAGTTTTTTTTTTTTTTTTTTATATGCACAATTCCCTTTCATAATAAAATAAAAGAAAATAAATAAATAAATCTCCATAGACAAACAAACTAGCGACAAAGGTTAATACATCTTCCGTTTCATTTTAGACACCCCCACCTTTCCCCGACTTGACATCTTGAAAGTATCTCTATACCGCTACTTATTATTAACACCCTACACTCGCCTACCCAATTTAAACAATTCGCCCTTGCTGTTACCATGGAGATTTTGATTTCAATTTTTAAAACAAGTAAATTTCAGATATACGTTATTCCAAAAAAATTTCGCTTGAAGATGGAACGGAGCCCATTTTAATTTAAACTCAATTTAATTTAAAGGATTATATTGAAGTTTTCGGCTCTTGTTTTGAAACATGAGACCTCTTATGTAGCGATTTGGAATCATATTTTTAAATAAATAATTATATATATATATATATATTATTGTTATTATTATTATTAATTTATTGCCCACCCATTCTTGGTAAATAAACGGACTGCTTCACTATCATTACAATATGGTATAAATATCATTAGCTAATGATTGCATTGTGCTATCAGTAAGGAAAAAATGTATATTTATTATTAATATTATATATTATATATATATATATATATATATATATATTTACACTAGCTGAGGTACCTGGCATTGCCCAGGTGTACACAGTTGCAATTATATAACCAGATTGTTCTTAATAAAGAAATTCCATCGATTGTGGTTGTTGCTTGGGGTTAAATTATTTCAATGTTTTAGATATTCAGTAAATTTCCTATGGCTGTAACAAATAGTATGTCATTGTTCATAAATCTAATAATCAAACAAAAACAGGGATGAAGTGTTAGTGCTTGATTCAAACGCAAGTGCAAATGCATGAACACTCCCTCCTGCTTCACACATTTATTGTAAAGCTGGGGTTAATAAGAGGTTCTTCAGGAAATTTTCCCTTTTAACACTTCAATAATACTTCTCAAACAATCTTTTCATCAAAGGTTGTTCGAATGTCAATTTACAATGGAATCATGTGAAGAAACTATTGGATAAATGGCAAAAGCTGATTTTGGACCTAGTTTGTCACAGATTTTGTCCACTTAACTGAAATAATCGAAACCAAACATTCATGCAAAACAATTTGTGTGTCACATGTATTTTACATGACAAATTTGGAAAGCATTAGATGAAAAACCAGGGAGTTATGACCAAAAAACAGGCTTTGTGGACAGTTTTTGGGGTGTTTTTCATTATATGCAGGGAAGCAAGCTGGACTAAAACCACATTATCTTATATCCTGCATGATGTCAAATTTTTTGTGATATGTTTAAAGAAAATCTGATAAAAAATGAGGAAGTTATTCAAGTTTTTAAGTAGTTTTCAGTTTTTGCAATTTTTTGTGTGAAGCCAATGCTGCAGGAAAACTATCAAGCACTCTACATAAATCTCATAACATGACATATGTTTTGTGTTAAGTGCAAAGAACATCAGCTCATCCAATAAAAGTTTTGTTTGCATGTAATGTTGCCTTGGTTTTTGCAAGAAGTCATACCCTCTTTCAGTTTTATTGATTTTCTGCCCAACCTGGAGGTCCTGGAATTTGAAAAGTTGGTCTTTACCTAGTTTGGTAAATTTTCAACATATGTGTACAATTTCATTGAAATCGGTTGAGAAATGTGGACGTACATAAATAGCACACATGCACGCACACACACAGACATCTTCTGTTTTATAGATATATATATAATATATATATATATATAATATATATATATTTTTTTGTTTTTTATGCTTTTATTTTCTTTAAAAATTGTCACACCTCAAATATCTATCATATGTTCATTAGAGTATTTCACTAGCTACAAAGCACATATCTCTGTTTTGGTCAGAGACATCACATTTGAGATGAGTGAAAAAAGCTGAAGAATATTCTTGACTTTCAAAAACTGACTTTCAATTGGCTCTTGGAGAACATATTTTTAAAAAACAAATAAACTGGAGACAAGACCACACAAATGATTCTGAATGAAGACAAGAATCTGAAAAAAATTCATGAAACAAAAAACATTCTATCATCTTTTCATCCTAATCAAGTGCAGATGCAAATTAATTCTTACTTTTGAGTTGCAAGATAAACATGAGGAAAAATCAGCTGCAATGTTCAAAATATTAATTTCAGCTTTTCCAACCTCAATTAAATTTTATAATCCATCATTATTATTATTGGGTAGCCAAACCTTAGTAGACAAAGCTAACTGTAGTAAATCCTCATGGGGCACCAACTATAGTATAATGATTGGCAAGCTTATCTCCCACACTAATTATAGAGCTTAGAATTTTTTTGAGTAACTAGCTGGCTCACTTTTGCCATTTGGCAGGTGAAAATTAGTTTAATAAGCAGACTCATTCAGACAGCAACTTCCTAGTGTACTGAGAGGAGATGTGTCAAGAGTACATCCTAGCATTTGTGGAGAAGGCATAGGAACCCAGCTATTTTTGTATCTAACCACCTAAAAAATACTTTGTTATATTTTATGAATTGAGCATACAACATAAAGCCTCTAAATTGGGTATGCAACATGAATTTTCATTTCTCATGCTGGAAATCAAACTGATAAGATGTGTTCAAATTCTGACTAAAACAGTTTATATTCACATTGAATTTTGGAAAGGCATGAATCCATCTCTTTCTCCAAGCTATGGGAAAATTGCAGGACAGATTGAGTTCTCTAACCTTGGTTGGTAACCAGTCTAGAAGAAAGACAACCCTGAATTCAAAATTGGAGAAAATGATAAAAACTACTTCATTATCATTCCCAAGAACAAGCAATATGTAGTTTATAGATATTAAGAAGGAAGCTGTGGAAAGTTGTATTTGCTCAAATCTTGAAGTGATGTGTCACGTAAAGAAAAAATAAAAGTGATATTACTGTCAATAGGCACTACTCATCCCCAATGGGGTAATAAAGAGTACTTTCTCTTCCCTCGTTACACCATTCATCTTTCAAATATATAATGCAAACTTTTTCAATTACTCACAGTTTTCAGGGTCATTCTCAGTGTTTTCATTTGTAGACTTTGGTTCAAATTTCATTATGTTTAGTGGACATGGTAAAATGCTATAACCACTGTTGAATAAAATGAAATGAAGATATTTTCCAAATAGCAAACTTGTGCAAAATAATGGGTGGCAAAATGCAATATTTTAAATATACATCCATATAATGATTATAATTAAATTTGTAGATATGAAAATCATATGTTATTTTAAATTTTGATGCATATAACATGAACAAAATGAGTAATATACTTTCATTTTGATATAAAAAATATAATATGTACATGAAAATCATCTCTTCTTTGTTTATATATATATATATACATATGTATATAATCAGTATTACCCCATGTAAGGCAGTAAAGTCACTAAGACACAATGGGTTACAGGGTGTGTGAGAATTAGGAATATAAACAGTAATAATGAGCAGGAAGAGGACATCAGGAGGACAGTAGACAGCAATTGACATTGTATTTAAATTTTTGCTGATTAAAGTTGGCTAGGAAGCATGGAGCCAGATGGTATTTTCACAAACAAGAAGTGTGAGAAAAGAAACTGTTAGAGTTTGTCTATATTTCTGAGATGAGGTATTATGTACATTATTTACATTATTCGGACTATTGTCCTCATCTTTGCCGCCATATTTATCACAACGTTTTGGCCGTTGTACACTCCGGTTTTCTTCAGGTGGTTGGAATTTCGAACTGAACCCTTTATTTCGCTCACTGGGGTAGACTGTTCTAGTTCCACGTACCATGTTTGATGGATGTCAGTTATCAGTTATCTCCTGCTAATTTCCCTCTGAAAGTTCTCCACTGCTTTAACTGGGTATTGAACTCACACTCTTTGGGTCCTGCCACTGTGCCATGTGTCCTTGAGGACATCTAGGTATGAATTTCTGGGTATTATAAACCTAATGTCTTCAGCAACCATTTTTACCAGTGCTCATATTGCAAATTTGCTGTTATCATTGCATGTTCTTACCAGATTTCAGAGGGAAATTAGCAGGAGATGAGGACAATAGTCCGAATAATGTAATTTATACAATTTGTGGTTACATCTAACCATCTCAACTATAAATTGATGAGATCTTGATATCATTCTGCTACTGTACTTAAATTCAAAACGTCTAGGTGTACCATAGGTACATATATATATATATATATTATATGTGTATGTGTATGTGGAGGGCTGTGCTGGAGTAAAACAAGGTGAAAAGAATAAAGTTTACTTAGTTTCATAGGGGTTGTTGAGCAACTGACTTAGTTACACACACATATATATAGAGGATGAGAGAGATTTTTTTCTTTTAGGCATAACCATTAAAATAGATGAAGAAAAAAGTTTAAGTCTACAAATTAATGATAATACATTTAAGAGAATTTATAAGTGTACAAGAATAAGCTGAAAGTATATTGCATAAATATGATGATAGAGTCAATGTAACATTATAACTCTACATGCAAAACTTACTGACAAATATGCCCTAATGTTTAGATACATAGAAAGGCAAAATGTGTTAGGATTTATATCAGGCAAAAAAAAAAGAAAGAAGAAAATATTGTTTTGTACAATCTTGCATAAGAGGAGCTGTAGGTTAAAATCTTAAGTGGATAAGATGCTTGATGTTAAGTTTGAAGTTATAAAGGTCATTTTCACTTGTACAGAGATGTAAAGATATAGTGCTGGGAGGAGGCTTGAACAGACATGCTAATGGTTGCAAATGTAAAAGTGACAGAAATAGCATAGCCAATGATAAAGATGATAGGTCAATCATGAATCTGAATAGTTTTGATCACAACAATTAGAAATCAGAATAACAGACTTTAAATTATTGACTTCAGTGCAACTCTATTTCCAAATCAACTTACAATGCAAGTAAAGAAGCAATCAGAACTAATCTTTATACAAGATATTAATAACAATAAATATATAATGATAAAATAAATAATAAGAAATAACAAAATGAATTAAGTGTATGTTTTACTATATATTATAGCCTGGATCTACACTGTCAGAGTTTATTATGCAAGTCAGTTTTGCAGACTGTAAAGGATTCTTTCTTGGATATACTCTTTAATTTAAAGCTTCTTGAATGGTAAATTAAAAAAATGTCTTGTCCAGGAACCTACAATAATTCTTTCCATTTATTTTTATACTATGATCATCAACTTTGATGTGACCTATAATTTTACTATTCACAATACTAATTCAAAATATTACACTAACTCTTTGGCTTTTAAGTTAGACCAAATAAAAAAAAAATAGACAGGGAAGTGATCCCCAAGCAGGCCAATGACCCCCACCACCCACTGTGATAGTGGGAGTTGGATCTTGACCGGTGAAAGAAATTTAAACCTTACTCAATGGTGTCAAATAGCATATTCCTGCCACAATTCTTTATATATATCTTTATATATATATGTACATACATATATATATATATATATATATATATATATATATATATATATATATATACAGTGGGAGGAAACAAATATTCATACACATACAAATTTTTAATTTGTAGTATTTACAACTAATGAATAAACATATAATTAATTTTACACAGATATATAATAACTAAATAGAAAACAAAAAGAAATTGATTTAATAGAAATAAATCCTATTTATCCATTTTAATGGGTGAAAAAAGTATTTGTACAATGCAAATTTCAGATTTTAAAACTTTTAAGTTGTTTTAATTCTCTACATTATTCAAGTGTAATATTCTAGAATGTTCCCATAATGTTATTTTAGCCTAAAAAATACAAACAGAACACTCTGTAATTGATATTCGTACAAGAAGGTTTTTATCATGGCAAGATGTAAAAAATTGACAAATTTGTAAAAAAACTGATTGTTAAGCTCTGGAAAGAAGCTATAAGCTACAGGAAAATCTCAGACAATCTGAATTTACTTCCACTAACTCAAAACCAAAGAAGTGTAGGTGCTCCACAGAAGATTCCATCAAGATCTTCAAAGAAATTAATGCATTAAATTAAACACAATCCAATAATTATTCATCAAGAGATGCAGGATGATTTGCTTTCATCAGGAATCTCTGTCACTAAACAGACAATAAGCAATAAAATTAATTGGAACAATCTAAATATATATATATATATATATATATATATATATATATAGGTAAGTATGAAAGCTACTGTTAGAGGGTCAGTGACTAAACTGACTACTCCCACTCCATATTCTTGCAAGTGAAGTGTGTTGTTAGCAACCCAGTAGGATGAAAAATAAGACCTATCAAAGGGCACAAAAACTCTCGATGTGTCAATGGCCAGCCAAATAGAAGCAGTGTTTCAATAACCAACATGGAGAAGTCAATGTAGAAACCACTCCACTATCAATCCCAAGAAATATCATGACATTTATCAAACAAAATACAAAACCAGCGTGAAGGAGATTAATTCTATGGAAATTAATTCCTCGTCTAGTAAGGAGTGACATGTGCAGCATGTGTCATCTGATCATCATCCAGTGGCTGTTAGCATAAACTGTGTAAAGGGAATAAAACTCCTCAGAATTGATCACTTGCCCAGAAAGGAGTGACATGAGTGACAGGTGTCACCTGACCATCATCCAGCAACTGTTCACATCAAACAAAAAATAACTCTTGGGACCTGTAATGTTAGAACATGTAGCCAAATGTAAAATGTAAAACAGGAGATGAGTAGGTTAAATGTCAACATTTTAGGAATATGTGAAAGGAAAGCCTTTCAATATATCTATTATAATTGCATATGCCCTGACAGCACAGAGTATGGAATAAGAAATCAAATCTTTCTACTCTATGCTAGACAACACTAAGGCTCATTATAAATCACAAGTAATTATAATTATCATGGGAGACCTGAATGCCAAAATCGGCAAGGAGAGGGATGGTGAAATAACTGGCAAATTCAGGCTATGAAACCACAATGAATGTGAAGAAAAATGGTTCCAAGAACATCCAAGGTGATGATGGACATGGAGAAGCCCAGGAGAAGAAGCTAAAAAACTAATTGTCTACATAACTATCAATAAGAGATTCAAGAATGTAGTTGTTCACTGCAAAACCTATCCAAGTGCAGAGTGTGGAAGCAAACACCTCTCTGTTTTATGCAAACTTAGGATGAAGCTACGGAAACTGATGAAGTCTAATGTAGCACCCAAATTGAAATACAAAAGACTCTTGAATAACCTGAACCTGAAGTACAAATTTATGGACAGTGTGAAAAGAAGATATGAGTGACAAAATGGAAATAGAAACTCAAAGTGGGACACACTTAGTGAATCTTTAGTGACATCAACAAACAAGATCATCCCAAAGGAAAACGGATGAAAAAGAAAAAAAAAAGAATGGATGAGAAATGAGATTCTTGACATGATGGAAAGTAGGTAGAAAACAATTCAAAGACACAGAACAGAATAAAAAAATTTACACAAAGAAAAAAGGAACAAATGCAGATAGGTTAAAGAAGAATGGCTTACTGAAAAATGTACAGTAATAGAAAGAATGAGTAACATAGATAAAGGAGATATGCATAAAAACTAAGAGAACAGGACAAAAGACATGCTCATCAACAGGCTGCATAAAATCTAAGGACGGAAGGCTGATATTAGAGAAAAAGAAAATATGTCAGAGATGGAACCAATATATAAGAGAACTCTTCCACAATGAAAGAGAACAACTGGCAATGCACAAAAATATTGATAGACCATAAATATTAAAAGCTAAAGTGGAAGCTGCATAGGCCAAATTGAATAGAAACAAAGTGGCAAGGATAGACAAAATTGTGATAGAGATGCTGGCAGCCTGAGACAACTTTGGCATAGACAAGATTACAGAAATAATAAATGAACTCTAGAAGAGTGTGGATATACTGGAAGTAGATCTATTTTCATAACACTGCTTAAGAAACTAGGCACAAACAAATATGAATTTCAATGGATAATCAGCCTAATGAGTCACATAACAAAACTCATCATCTGAATTCTGATGAATAGGGCATGCAGCAGAATCTGGCCAGAAATAGGTCAAGAACAATGTGGGTTTGTCAAAGACACCAG